AAAGAAGCCGTGGCCGACGCGCTTGCGGTCTCGCAGCGTGAAATGGTGGTCGAGTATCTCGAGACGTTTGTCGAAAGCGCCGGCAAGCTGGGTTCCGTCGGTACCGTGTTTCTGGTGGTCACGGTTGTGATGTTGCTGACGTCAATCGAGTCTGCATTCAACGACATTTGGGGTGTGCGCCGTGCGCGTTCGATGCTGCAGCGCTTTCAGGTCTACTGGCCGCTCGTAACGCTGGGACCGCTGGTCGCCGGTTTGTCGATTTCGATGTCGGCCGCGGTCGAGACAAGCGATCAGATCATTCGCTACTCGCTCTACTTTCCGAGCATTCGATTTTTCCTCGGACTGGGGCCACTGCTCCTGCTCTGCGCCTTCTTTACGTTCCTGTACTTGGTTATGCCCAACACCAAAGTGCGGGTTCGACCGGCGCTGGTCGGCGGCATTGTGGCCGGGATCTTATGGACCACGGCGCAGCGCCTGTTTGCAATCTACGCTGCTAATGCGATCACCTATTCGGCGATCTACGGCTCGCTCGGTGTGATTCCGCTATTTGTTGTTTGGGTCTACGTGAGCTGGACGGTCGCGCTCCTCGGTTCCACGCTGACCTACGCGATTCAAAACGTACGCACCTTTGAACCCGACCGAACGGTGCCGCAGTCCGAGCGAGAGTTCGCGGGTGTTCGCCTGATGGTCGCGGTGGCCGATCACTTCCGGCGAGGTCAGGGCTCACTGACGGCACAAGAACTCCTGGACCAGGTGCGGGTGCCGCCCCGACTTGCGCGTGGATTGCTCGGCTACCTCACGCAATGTGGGTTGCTTACCGAAACCAGTGGTGACGACACCGGTTTCGTACCGGGCCGGCCGCTTGAGAACATCTCGGTTGCAGATGTGATTTTGGCACTGCGCGAGGACGGCACGGTCATGGGAATCCGCCACGATGAAGATGCTCTGAGTGTAGTGACGACCGAAATCCTAGAAGAGACCTGGGGCGCTATCGAAGAAAAGCTGGGGCAACTTAAGTTGACGGACCTCGCCGAGCGCGCCGAAAACTCCGCGACACCGTCGGCGACGGTTCACGAATTACCCGACGCAACAAAAACGGATGCACCCTAGTTGACAGCGTCTGCCTCCGCGTGGACTCTGTCGTTTGTGACGCGTACGGTCCTCTGCTGTATCTGTCTGTAGCCGGCTCCCGGGGTGCCTCCCCGACTTTTGCCGGCCCCCTTTTCCATTCGTAAAACTTAAGACTGCTGACAAACGCCCGTGGTTTGTCTGCCCCAACACTCACGTGCCTCGTTGCGCGTTGGAGAACGACTATGACTCTCAATCTTGGCGATACCGTCCCTAACTTCACCCAAAAGAGCTCCGAAGGTGACATCGAGTTCTACAAGTACCTCGGCGATAGCTGGGGCATTCTGTTTTCGCACCCCAAGGACTTCACACCGGTATGCACGACGGAACTCGGCACGGTGGCCAAGCTCAAACCCGAATTCGAAAAGCGCAACGTGAAGGTGATCGCGTTGTCCGTCGATTCTGTCGAAGACCACGCCGGTTGGATCAAAGACATTAACGAAACGCAGAGCACCGAAGTGAACTACCCGATCTTGGCCGACCAAGACCGAAGTGTCGCGAACCTCTACGGCATGATTCCCCCCGCCGCCGAAAACACGCTGACGGTTCGGTCGGTGTTCATCATCGATCCCAACAAGAAGCTTCGCTTGTCGCTGACCTATCCCGCGTCGACCGGCCGAAACTTCGACGAGCTTTTGCGCGTGATCGACTCACTTCAACTGACCGAATACGAAAAGGTGGCGACGCCGGCGAACTGGACGCAGGGCGATGACGTTGTGATCGTGCCCTCACTGCAGGATAAAGCGGAGCTCGAGAAGCGGTTTCCTCAGGGTTGGACCGAAGTGAAACCTTACTTGCGGCTTACCGCGCAGCCAAAACGCTGAAATTCGCGTGCGCCGGCGCACACCGGGCCAGGTTTTACTAAACTAAGGTTTGGTAGGTCCTGCACCCATCCTTTAGGATTGGTGTGTGTCGGGCTTTTCGCTGAGGCGCCTTTTTGAGGGCGACCCGAACAAGGCGAAGGGCGTCACGCTCAACCAGCACAAGAGTTTTCTGACGAAGCTCGGCGAGCTGTCCGACAAAGACCGGCTGCAGGCGGCCGTCGAACTTGCTTTGGACAAGAAGACGGACCTCACCGCGTTGGCCGGTGCCCTGATGCCGCAGGAACACGCGGCCGTGATCGCGCAGGTCGATAGCAAAACCGAACTTCGTTTGATCGAGGCGGGATTCATATCGGGGGCAAGCGGCCCTGCGGGCGCGACCACGATGTTGTCGCCGCAGGTGATGGCGGCGCTCAGCGCGAATCCATTTCCCGCCTCGATCGGCGACTTTGTCAAAAAGAGTGGCTTGGACGGTCGTATCCAAGCGGTGCGCCAGGGCCGGCTTGCGATGGCGCCCGAGGAGCGACCCGAAGTGGAAGCTGCCTTGCAGGGACTCGACAAGGCACAACTCAAAGATCTCCGCGACGCGCTGGTGTTCAAACCGCCGCATCCGGATTTGAAGAGCATTCGAAAGTTGCCGGCGCTTAAGGGCGCGCCGACCGTCGACAAGATCCTCGATATTCTGGGCGGCGTTGGTTTCGACTTGAACGAGTCGGCGCTTCCTTTCGAAACGATCTTCCGCCCCGGCACGCCGATCACCGTGACGCGAAGTAGCGGTGGCGTGGAATCCAACTGGAAGATTCAAGCGCGCGCACCGGGCGGCGACATCGTGGCGATAAACACCCGCGGTGATGTGAAAGCGATCTCGCGGCAAAAGGTCCTAAAACAAAACACGCGCCTCATTCCGCTACACACGCCCGTGCGGAACCTGCGTAGCGGTGGTGGCTTAGATGCCGGCTGGCATGTTGCGGAACACCAGGCGGACGGCATGATCCTGCTGCGAAAGCCGGGCATGTCGAAGCCGGTTAACTTGCAAGAACTGTTGCGTGATAATCCCGAGCTCGCCGCGCCGCCCAAGGTTACGGGTATTGCGCAGCGTATGTTTGCTCCGCGGCAGCAGGTCGAGGTCCAAAGAACAAACGGTGAGGTGGAGTCGGGTTGGGAGATCGCAGGCTACCTTAGTGACACGGAGCGCGTGTTCGTGGCCCACGGGGACAAGAACAAGAAGCCCCGCGCTGACGAGGTTCTACTCCGCAACTTGCATTTACTACCGCTCGGGATTGATCTCGCGGTGCCGCGGTCGATCGGTTACGTCGAAGACGGCTGGCAAGCCTTTGGGCACACAGACGACGGTCTCGTCCGCATGCTGAATGGACGCGGCGAGTGGAAAGCGATTCCCGCCGAAGAACTCATCGAACTCAACCGTGCGTTGTTATTGCGTCCGAGCGACGACACGAACGCGCCGATACAAGGCACTGCCGTTACCCAGCCCGGACCCGGCAAGGCGCAAAGTCTCAGCTTCCAACGACTCAATCGCATCGAGCCGAACCAGTTGATTCATGACGGTTACGTCGATGGCGGGCGAGGCCAGACCATGACCGACAACAAGGTCTCGAGCTCGCGGGAAGTCCTCGTCGTCGACCGAACTCGCGACCCGCAATTGCGCAGCATGCTCGCGACCGCCCGCTCGATGCAGACACTTCCCGAAGCACAACGCCTCGAGGCATTGGCCGCCTTGGTTGAGCAGCATTTTGTCTCGGTCAGCGGCCACGCGCTAAAGCCGGCCGAAGTCCTGTCCTCACAGTACCGAAGCCAAGAGGTCTTGCTCGGGGAGGCGGCGCAAAAAGGCGGCGGCGGCGTTTGTCGACACCGCGCGATGCTTTTCAAAGTGCTCGGCGACGAAGCCGGACTCAAGGTCTCTTTGGTGCGTGGCTACGCCAAGTGCAACGACGGCTCCTACGGGGGTCACGCCTGGAACGAGGTTGAGCTGACCGACCATCCCAAGCAGATGGTCGACGTCATGAATCCCACGCGCGCCGGAAAAAATCTCGTGTTCCCTGACTTGAGGGCAAGCCAGCTTTCGATGGAGTACATGGATGCCTCGGGAACCAAACTCTATGAATGAGCTTCCGTTCGCGTCGCACCAGGTTCTTGGTGGCGGCCGCTTCAGCGAAGTCCACCGCGTTACGGGGCCTGATGGTTCAGCATGCGCGCTTAAGATCGCACGGGCGGAGCCGGCCTCTGCGCAGGATGTAACCGGCGGTGTGTTTTTTGCGGAAGGCCTAGGCTTTCACACCGGCAGTGTCGGCAGCGCAATGGTCGAGCCCAACGATGTGCTGCGGGCAGAAATTGAGACGCTAAAAAAGGTCGATCATCCTGCCGTGCCGAAGGTCATGCAAGATGGGCTGCACGATGGTCTCACCTGGTACCTGATGCCTTCTTACGAAGGTAGCTCCTGGCGTTCCGGTATCTACGCAGACGAGAACATCGACCTCGATGATTTTCGTCGGCTTTTAAAAACCCTGGTGCAACTCAACGAAAACGGGCAGATGTCACGGCACGGGGATATCAAACCCGATAACCTGATCAAGGGCCCGCAATCAGAATTGCGCCTACTAGATCCCAGTGTTGGTTACACAAGCCTCAATCCGATCGGTCAGCCCAGCCGGCTGCTGTTGAGCGCCTGGTACAACCCGGCATTCGAAATGTCGGATCTACCGGCACTCGGCATTCTGCTCGTTGAGGTGTTGTGTCGTCAGCATTTGTGGCTGGCGGCTGAGCCGCAAGGCGTCTTGCCCGTACTTGGTGAGGGCTTGGAGAATCGGCTTCGCGCAATGAAAGCGACCGGTC